AGATGATTTGTATTATCGCTTCCTCACTGGATCTAGAGTGTGGATTACATGTGAAGAATAAGACAAAGGACCTATCGGAAGAAATAATATAGTATGATGATTAAGGCAGGTGAGTATCTATCATGGAAAACAATTCAATTTTATCCTTTTTCTGTTGAAGCCTTTCTACATGGTATTGAGCAAGATACTAGCATTCCACTAGCGCATTTAAAACATGTCATGTGCTGAGCTCTTGGACTGAAATAAATAGGAGCTGTGGATGCTCATTGCCTTCAGCTGTAAGGCCTGGAAGAACATGTTGTATGGGAAGTCAGCTGGTTCTGAGCAGAGCTGATTGTCAGAATTTGATTTGTCAAAAAGAATTTCATAGGGAATGACAGAGACTTTAAAACCTAGGAGTTAGGAAAGTTGGGGACTTGAACATGTTTCTTGCAGAACCTGATTGTGCTGCCCACGGTAAGCATTACATTTAGTTAGACCTAATCAGGATCTAGCTAAATGCCTACTTATGCAGGTATTTGGAGGGTTTAAATTGGCCCAGTCACTTGTCAACCGCAGGGCTGTGCTATTTCTGCCCTCTTAGCCCTAACTAGGCTATTTTTAATCCTCCTAAACTCCCCTGCAGACCCTCCAGCCCCATCCCTGATCCTTAGACCCTCCCCCTACCTCAAGTTACTTACCTGAGGCTGCCTACACTGTTTAAAGTAAGCCACCTAAACTTAGACCAGGTGCAGTGAACACTTGCTCACACCCTAATCGACCAATTGTTTTAAGAGTGTGGGTGTTAAAGGAAATTCAACCTGGGTCTCCCACAGTTCATGAATCTTGACTGTTGGGATTGCTTTCTGTCTCTTCCGACAAAAATAATTTTTGAAACATTTGTTTTATCCTGATGTGTAAAAAGAAACCTTTTCTAAATTTCAAACTTCTATTGAAGAGGAAAAATGTACCCTGTTCTGTAGGCCTGAGATGTGATCCCGGCTCTGCCACTGATTCATCATGTGGCCTCAGGTAATATTAATAATTGAATGTTCAGTGTCTGGTTTGGCTGACATGCAGTCAATAATGCAAGGTTACACAATAAATGATCAAGATAAAAAGGCATATCCAACAGTTGGACAGTTGGTCATGCCCAGTGTACATCCATTCTGTGCACTGAATGAGGCAGGGGTCTTATAGTTTCATAGTTTCTAGGGTCAGAAGGGACCTGAGCAGATCATCTAGTCCGACCCCCTGCCATGGCAGGAAGAGCACTGGGGTCAAATGACCCCAGTAAGGTGGTCATCCAACCTCCTCTTAAAAACCCCCAGGGTGGGAGCCTGCACCACCTCACTTGGAAGCTGGTTCCAGACTCTAGCCGCCCTGACCGTGAAGTAGCGCCTCCTGATGTCCAACTTAAACCTTCCCTCC